TTGGTGATGGTTGAAAAGTGTATACAAAATTTATTAAAATATTAAAATATATAAAAATAAATAAATGTTTATTGAAGTGCTTAAATTTTTTTATTTTTTTTTTGTCTTTATTAACTCTTAGGCCTCGTTTGGTAATTCACTGTTTTAGTTTAAAAATTAAAAAATCACTAATAAAATTACAAAAATCAACAACTTATATCAAAAAGTTAAATATTTCTTTCTTTTTTCCTTTTTTTTTTTTTCAACTTTTTGCACATTTTTCTTAAAAAAATTAAGAATCGTCAAATATACTAATTTTTTTATCCCATATTTTAACTAAAAAAATTACTAAAATAATATATTCTCAAAAATGCCTTGACCAACATCGTAAGAGCAATGGTTAGCAATTCCCTTGTAATAAATACATGTGAGTAGTGATTGTGCAACTCATTCATTCTTATATTGTTTTTAATAAAAAATTGTATTCTTTTGCGTGAAACTTTAAATCTTCTTTGTTGTGAAATCCCCATAAATTCTTTATAAGTATTCTATGACTTATTAATGATTTTTATTGTTAAATTATTTTAAGTGATTGATTTAATTATTTTTATTAAAAAAAATGTTATATCAAATTCTTTGTTATATAAAAAATTGTCAGCTTCTCAAAATTTTGACCAGTGTGGCTTCTCAATTTTTTTGACAGGACACCTACACAAATTGCAAGATATATATATATACATATACATATTAGAGATAGACTCACATTAGTTATGCAATTTGTAATTGAATCTGATAATTATGACAGATATTTAAGGCAATTGAAAAAAAATTGAAACAATTTAATTTACTCAAGTTTTGAAGACATTTCCGAAAAAGAGTTTTCGTGAGATGAACCTCCGCTTCATATATTAATATATGCATATATGAGAAAGAGCTGAACTTGTCTTTAATTCCGTCTGATCCTTGTTGCATCAGTTTTTTTTTATTTTTTTATTTTTTTTATGTGTAATTTAATGATTTATATTATATCCACATACTTACAAAATTAATATTAAATTTAAATAAAAAAATCCAACTCAATATTCAACAGGCTAATAGGTAAACAAAATTTATACCGAGAGGACATTGTAAGAATGGTTTTGGAAAAATAGTTTTTTCTTCAACTTTGATATATTTTTTAAGTGGAATCCATGCGCCGAGGTTGGCGGATATTGGTCGTATTGCGTTTTATGCAACGTTTTGATTCACGTAGTATATTTGGTTGTTCAAAACTATTGTTGGGTGAATAAAAAATTAAAACCAAAATAAGCTCCATGAAAATAGTGTTTTGATGGGTTTCCCAAATTGAAGGAAGAAAAACTTGTCCCACATTGTTTGGTTAGGCTAACATTGTATGAGTTTATAAGTTTTGAGTTTGGACGCTGGGGTAGGCCCCAAGGGGGCACTCAAGTTTTGTAGAGGGGAGATTATGGGCTAGATCCATTGTACCCAAAACAAACACACGTGGCGCCACCGTCCGGTCGGGCTGGTTGGGCTTGGGCGCGGGTGCAATGTGAGATTGGGTTGGACTTGTTCGACCCAATGCTTATCTTTTTTGATCAAAAACATTTGAATTTTATTTTTTCTAAAATTAAATTCTTACTATTTGGAATTTGAATTTCGGTTTGAAATTCAAACTTAATTTCGAAATGACCCCAACGTTTTTGAACGTTGGCAGTTTGGTCCCTTGCACCTTTTCAGTATTTTCCTCCAACCTGAACAGATTTGTACTTGTTCATCTCCAACCCGAACAAGTTTTTTACCTATTCAAGTCTGTCTTAAAAAGCCACCAATTCTCCTATAAATAGACAAGTTCTCCATTTGGTTTTGTACTCAATTTTTTCGTTATTGCTTCTGCTACATTTTGTTGCATTTATTTTCTATAAAAAAGAGTATATACACAAATGTGTTTGCTGGACATTTAGTTTGTAGTGCTGCTACTAAGTGTCAACAATCATTTTATCCTGGGAGATAGACGTCCACATTCTAAAAACACCTAAGAGAGGAAAAATCTGTTTTAAGGAGACAGTGTTGAACACTGGACTTGATCTAAATATCTGAGAAAATAATACTGTAAGTAATGAGTTTACTTTTCTGTTTTTATTAATTTTTCTTTTTCAGATTATGTTTTGTTTCTGTAACAAAATAAGAATTTGTTTTATTATTTTTTATATATATATATATATATATATGTTTTGTTTTGTTTTTTTTGTAAACAAACAGACTCCATTCTCGGAGGTCATTGGGTGTGAGATTAAATAGGAAAATGTTAAAGTATTTTGGACATTTTGGTTAGTATTGCATTTATTCTTCAACTGTGTAGTAATGGATATGATGGAAGAAGTTTATTTAAATTTAATTGCATGTTTGTAGGTATTTTGGGCATTTTTTTTCTTTCATTAATCTCACTTTTTTTTTAAAAAAAACTAATATCTAACAAATATATTGTTTCTCACATTATTTTGAAACTCTCTAAATCTTGCATATTCAAAGAAAAAAAATGAGTGACCATGACCAAAGTCACGAAAGTGATCCAATGTTGGTGGATGGCCAGTCCTCTCAATTTCCAGTCTTGGTGGATGATTCAATTTCAAAGCCTCTCAATGATGGCGAAGAAAGTCCTACTTCAAGGAGAACAACATCGACGGTGTGGAAACACTTCAAGAAGCGAAAGATTGATAAGAAAGATAAGGCAAAATGTAATTACTGTAAGAAATTGTATTTGGGGGAAAGGAGCTGTGTATGTTATTTTAGCGACAAAAAAAATCTGGTCGCTGATACCAAAACGACGTCGTTTTGGTATCAAAATTCATTAGCCGACCAGATGTTTCGTAGGGGATCACTTTACTAATTCAAACACACATTAGAAATGCTTACGCGCCTCTTTCAGACCTCAGGCGATTTCGATCGAAGCTCATTCGCGCCAATCATCTCACCTTACCATCAACCTTGTCGTCCGCCGTCAGCGCCTCTCCGCCGTCTGCGCCTCCGTCCCTCCTCGCCATTTCTGTTTCGTCTTGGGGATTTCTGATTCATCTAGGTATTTTTTTCAACTTATAATAGTTTCTCTTGTGCCAATCATCTCACCTTACCATCAACCTTGCCGTCCGCCGTCAGCGCCTCTCCACCGTCTGCGCCTCCGTCCCTCTACGCCATTTCTGTTTCATCTTGGGGATTTCTGATTCATCTAGGTATTTTTTTCAACTTATAATAGTTTCTCTCCGTTTATATCTCTGTGTCTCATTTTTTCTCTTTGATTCCTCATACTCGTCTTGTTCTATAATGTCTCACCCACCAGGGCCCTCACCATCGCGATTTGTCGGAGCATCTTCAACTCGCCCTAAAATCAATTTCAGGTATAAATCCGAGAGTATCACTCTCATGAACTCAGTCTCTGCCTGTGTCTCCCTCTCACTGTCAATGGTTGTGTTGATGTTTGCTACTGGGATATGTCGATTATAAGATTTCGTTATGTTGTTTGTGAAGTCCCCCAATCTGTGATGTTCTTGTAGTGTTTTTTTGCTCCTATTTCTTTTAAGTATCCCTGTTTATATTGGGAAATATACTTAATTGAACCTAAAATTTCTTTGGGTGCTTTTGTAAGTTATTTGGAATTTGATTTCCGAACAAATTAGTTGGTTAATAGATTATAAATTCCTGAGATATTTTAAGTACCCTTAAATGAGCCACAAGCTGTACAAGGACTTACCGTATATACCATCCTTTAGAAGTTGGAGTTGATTTTTTATGAAGAGACAGGGTAGCACATCTTATTTTAGCCAAGTTGGACTTGCCATATATGCTTATCATTTTTCTGTTTGAAGTTTCTTTTCCCATTGTGCTAGAAAGTTCACAGTCATGTTTACTCTTAAGGGAAAGGATAATGGTCTAGCTAATACCGTGGTGTGGACGTCCCCCGAACACCCCGGGAGGGTTAGTCCCGTTCTGTTCATTTGGGGTTACCACAGTTCGGACTCGATTTGTGTCACGGTTCTTAATCTGAACCAAAGAGTCCAAATCTGGCAAATCGTTTTGAGAAACGGGTTTTTGAAAAAGTAGTGCCGAACATGGACTGCTTTGTCAGATACAGAGTCGTCACCTAAATAATTTTTAAAATGGGAAATTTAGGAAACCCTGACTCGGTGCCGAAGGCCACATGTCCGTCATCACCGGAGTTGTCTCGGCTCGGGAGCTTGGGTACGATCGGGGAAGGTCAGCTATGAGCACCCCCTTTCGCCCGGTCCGAAGACCGGCCTCTACTAACCGTGATATCCGTTTTTGAAAACGTTATGTGTTCTTATTCCATTATTCATATCTTTAACTATTTTCTCCCTCTGGATATTGATAATATAATAAATTTGTTTGGCTTTGTTGCAATTATATGTTAATTGAATATGAATTGTTGAACTTGTTGGGTATGTTTTTTTTTTTTCCCTTGCTATTTCAAAGGGGAAAAAGATGGAAGGAAAAATAGTATGTTTTAAGGTGTAGATTTATATGCATTAAGATATTGGGTAATTGTCTAATTGATGATGTTTCTATTGATTGGGTAAACAAGTACAATAAGTTTGAAGCCTAAACAAAGCTGTGGAAAGGACAACAACTAAGGAGCCTTTTTTATATGACTCGTGCCCGTATTTATCTTGATTATAAGTTAGTATGATGTTGGCAATGTTTAAGTAGTTGATATTTTAGGGGTGATAGTTGGAACCTAGGTTGCTTGCATGATGTATTGGATTCAGAAAATTGATAAGTTTTGATATGTCGACATGTTGGTATTTCCAACTAATGCAGTTTTTTTATGTGTGCGTTATGTCACAGTTTTATGAGTATTCAACATTATTTCCTTACTTGCCTTTTTGGCCCAGCCCTTGGGTTAGCACTTAAACTGTCATCGTGTGAAATTTTACTTAATTGTGCATCTATTTCTACTTTTAAGCCTTGTTTTGGTGTTTTATGTGACTCTGGTTTGTTTGTAACTGGTCTGTTACTCAGGGCTCTACAGTTGCACAACCATTTCCTGTTGCAAATCCTTTTGGAACTCTACCTGCAATGCCTCAGATGTCAATTGGTCGTTCAGGGACTGCACCTTCTATTCAATATGGAATTTCTAGCCTTCCAGTAAGCATGACTTGTCCTGTCCAAGTAGAACTAAAAAAAAAAAAAAAAAGCCTAGAGGAACTAAAAACTATGGTAGTTTTAATTTATAATTTATTTTGGTGGGACTCTGTTTCAATTTGATTATTAAATTGAAATTTCAATTTTCTTTGTTACATTTTGTTTGTAATTGTAATTACCATGTCTAAACTTCTTTTCTGAAGAGCTAGTTATTAGATTTATCATGTGCATGTGGTGACATAGTTTTCGAAGCAGGTTGTTGACAAACCTGCTCTGGTTAGAATATCATCTTTGTTGACTTCTCGCCACCTTTCTCAAAGGCGGATTAGGTTGCCTGCAAGGAAATATCATCCTAAAAATGATGGTCCAAAGGTGATGATGATTCCTCTGGTAAAACTTAGTATCTCATTTTAAAATAGAAATTATTACACTTCATTGCTTAATTTTGGTATCCTGGTGCCATTTTTCACTGATGATGAAGAAACTCCAAGCACACCTAAGGCAAATGCTCTTTTCATTCCCAGGGAGAATCCTAGAGCTCTTGTTATTCGTCCCTTGGAACAGTGGCCTCCAAAAACAAATGTGGATAAAGCATCTCCATTGAAGGACACATCTAGTCCAACACATGAGAATGGTAAATTTTTCTTGTATTTTAAATTTGGTGGGCCTGAATGCTCAATCTTTAGGTATGGGAACAATGGAAAATGTGCGAAATTCATTTTTGGGGCTGGAACAAAGAATTATTTTGCTTGTATTAAAGTAATGTTGTAGCTGGTATCTGTTTTGTCACCATAATGCTCAATCTTTAGGTATGGGAACAATGGAAAATGTGCGAAATTCATTTTTGGGGCTGGAACAAAGAATTATTTTGCTTGTATTAAACTAATGTTGTAGCTGGTATCTGTTTTGTCACCATAAATGGAATGTTTTGTCACCATAAATGGAATGTTATGTCAAGACTTTTGGTTTGGTTTGGCTTGGTTTAGCTGGTATTTGTTAAGTTGATATTTGTTTTCACGATCTTGTTGCTCAATCAAAGTGAGTCCTTATATTGATTTAAATTGTCAATTTGGATGACTTTTGGATTATTTTTGGCCTTATGGATGCTACTTTCCCCTTGTAATGCTTTGGTAGATCTTGGGCACATTCATAAAGAATGTTGGTGTTTCAAACTTGATACTTTAAAATTTATCTGGATTGAATGTGTTTTTTATACCACTTCTTTCTTTGTGGTCTTGAGCATGGTATATGATACTTCTCAAGTTCTATCCTTTTTTATTCTGATTTACAGGTAGATTCTTATGCATCCTATTCTAGTTTAACTTAAGTTTCTTGCAAATGAAATTACCTTGTTACTTCTTTTTCATTCTGATTTACAGGTTGATTCTTTTGCTGTTGCTCATGACAATGAAATGCATGAAGCTACACGTAGAATCTTATCAGTGTTATTACGGCAGGTATAACAATTTTGCTAAATTTTCCTGAATGATATTATTGTCACTGAAGTTTTCACTGTTCTGTCTAAAATGTTATTCTCCCAGTTCATACTATCCAAAGAACCTCGAACACCTTTCAACTTACTGCCTACTATTCCCTTCAAAAGTGGGATTGTGCTGTCTTTTTCTCAAATTTCGTTGTTTGTCATGTTCTTTGAATACTTTCGAGAAATGATAGATGCAATCATTCTCTGGTAGCATGTGTTAAACTAAATAGGATATAGCTGAATTAGACAGTTTTTGCTGTGGCCTTAGTAAATTTTACTCTTCTGGTGCAGATTGATGGATTTGAGCAAGAGAAAAAAGTGGTGGTCATTGCTGCAACCAACAGAAGCAAGACCTTGATCCTGCTTTGATTAGGTATACCAGTGCACATTTTCTTATATGACGGTTATATGCAGAATTGATTCAAGGTTTACTAACATACGTTTCATTCATTTCTGTTAGTCGGTTTGATTCTATGATCACCTTTGGCTTACCAGATCAGCAGACCCGTCAGGAAATAGCAGCTCAGTATGCAAAGCACTTGGCAAAATCTGATTTAGCTGCATTTGCTATAACGACCCCGGTCTTTTCCCATTTGATTATTGTATCCGGACTGTTCCGTAGATTCTGTCATTGTATCATGGTTGTTGTTGTTGTTCCTTATTTTCTCTTTTGGAATTATAGGATGTGTTAGGCAGGTTTGTTTAGGTTGGTTGGGTTTAGAAACCAAGTGTTGCTGTCCAGGTTTTTGGTTCTTCGCTCGAGCGAGGAGTTGTTCGCTCGAGCGAGAGGTAGTGTTTGATTTGGACCTGTAGCTATGCATTCTTGGCTCGAGCGAGCTTTTCTTCGCTCGAGCGAGTTAGTTCATCCTTCGCTCGAGCTATAGTTCCTTCGCTCAAGCGTGTGTCTGGGTTCAGACCTGAGGGTATGGGTTCTTCGCTCGACCGAGATGCTTAGAGGGAGATCCCTCCATACACGTGTATGGAGGGGGGAAGAGTTGGTGCCAGCTATCACAGCTGGCACAAAATATCTCCATAAAGTGGATGAACAGTGGTCGGCTGCCCAAAAATGCTATTTCGGCAAAAAACAGTGCCGACCGGCAACATATTATGCCGACCGGCAATAAAGTGTGCCGACCGGCAAACAAAAGTGCCGATGGAAGAGAAAGACCATCCGGTGGCTTCCAGCCACTGCCGGTGGTGTGTGCGGATGCCTCATAAGGCATTCCCTGCCCTTTCAAGGCAAAACACAAGTGTTCGGTGCAAAACCAGACACCAAACGGTTAGGTTCGGAGATCCTGAGGCAGGGCGCGCGAGCCGAGACCTCCGGGAACTCTGAACGAACACGATCATGGATGATCACCGAGTGTTCAAACGGTGACGTCCAAGTCTTGAGGACGGTCAAAAATGGGGTGTCTACACGTGGATCCGATTTTTTTTCATACCATGGGATGTTGGATAGATTAATATTTATTATGAAATTACAGTACTATGTTTAGTAAGAGTTGGGATGGAGGAAAGTTAATCCGACGAGTACCCGTACGAAATTAATTATGCCAAGGCACTGAGAAATTTAACCCATGGTTTTGAGGGAGTATTAATCTGTCCGCACAACTAATCCCCTTATTGGTGAATCAAATATGAGACATTACAACATTAGGAGACAAATCCTAAACATATGGGGTCTTATGTTTTTTAGTTTAATACCCTAATCCTGACACAATCATGTCGAAAAGGGTAGAATATGTATATGTTTATCTTTCATCTTCAATGTTGATATGTACAAGATGTTTTGAAGCTTTAAGTTTTCAGCCCTTGAACTACTTATCAAGTTTTTATATTGTTCATCCTATAATTGCTAAGAAAGGCTTGCAAATTTGCTTTCTAAATTTGCAAAGATATTTTTTCGTAGGCAAAAAAAAATGAAAACAATATAAAAGCAATGAGACTTTTCAAACTTCAATAGCAACAAAATAAAAAGGATAAATTACGCGCAAGTAGTCCTTGTGCTGTCTTTTTCTCAAATTTCCCTTCAAAAGTGGGATTGTGCTGTCTTTTTCTCAAATTTCGTTGTTTGTCATGTTCTTTGAATACTTTCGAGAAATGATAGATGTAATCATTCTCTGGTAGCATGTGTTAAACTAAATAGGATATAGCGGCATTAGACAGTTTTTGTTGTGGCCTCAGTAAATTTTACTCTTCTGGTGCAGATTGATGGATTTGAGCAGGAGAAAAAAGTGGTGGTCATTGCTGCAACCCACAGAAAGCAAGACCTTGATCCTGCTTTGATTAGGTATACCAGTGCACATTTTCTTATATGACGAGTTAGAACTCGTATTTTTGTAACCAACTGTTGGCTTGGAAAGATGTAAGCCTGTAGGGCATTTTATTTGATTATTTAGTAATACTCTGATGAATGAATTAATAAAATGTCTTCTTTAAATAATGCATGTCAATGATATATAATAGATTAATTTTGAGGGCGTTACATTTGCCAAGGTTACTGAAGAGTAAGTTTGAAATATCCAACTAATTTATCTCGATCATGCCATTACTTGAGTGAAACACATCATTAATCACCACTCTCCCCCCACCTCCCAACCATCTCTCTATTTTTGGGGTTTGTTTTTTCTTCCCCTTTTTCTGAATGTTATTTTGTCTATCTAACTTGTGACCAGATCTATTAAAGTGATGATGGAATCAGGTTGTGAAGAGGTATGCTGTCAATATAAGAGTTTTATGCCTTAAATTATAAATTTTATTATGACAATTAGTCCTTCTTGCTTTCTCATCTCTTTGTGCCTAAAGCTGAAACTGAATACTATGAAAACAGAAATTAAGATATGTACATTATAGATGAGGTGGTTTTCTATGCACCTAAACAGATTATAAATTATTGATTGGTTTTCTATGCACCTAAACAGTTCATTGCTATATATGTTAAATTCCTAGTATTATAGATGAGGTGGTTCATTTTGGATAATGCTATGAAAACAGAATAAGTTTTGGCCCAAAGAAAATGATATGTTATACTAGTAACAATAGCTTTTCTTGGATATATTCCACGCTAAAAACCTACAGCAACCATTTATATGTGTTCTCAATGATTATAAATACTGTCATGTTATTTACTTTGTTTTGGTTCTCCAGTGTGAGCAGTTCATTGCTAATAGCATGGATGTGCTTCAAATGCCACTTATTCATTATTTATCAGACACAAAAATTTGGTATGCACTGCCTATCAAAAGTCTGCAAAGAAAATCTAAAATTTGAGAAAACACTTATATTAAATACACTGTTTTTGTTATTATTGTATAGTGTACAACTGATGATACTACATTATACTTCATACTGCACACAAAAATGCATTTTAGAAACTCATGCATTATTTTTACGAAGACCACCTTTCCACTTCACATTTCAATTTTAAATCACCTTCTGTTAATAAAGTTCTAATCATACTATGCCAAGTAAATTTAATGGAGAACTTCACATTTATGTCCATGTTTGTATTCTAGTTTTGTCCATGTTTTTATTCTAGAATACTTGTACATCATATATATTAAGACAGCTTGGCGGCTGCCACATTAACCCCATAAATAGATTTTTGGCAACCTATAAACATCAAAATGCGACATTTGTGTTAGGTACTTGACTTTCAGAAAAAAAAAATAATAATAATTTCCTGAATCTTCAAGGGTTTTTTGGAGAAGTTTTTCGTGGCATTTGGAATGGGACAGATGTTGCCATTAAAGTTTTTCTTGAACAAAATTTAACTGTTGAGAACATCGAAGACTTCTGCAATGAGATATCTATTCTAAGGTTTGTCTTAATTGATCTATTTGCAATCGTAGCTTCTCATATTTCCCCTCCTCCACTTTGTTCTTGTCCATGCGATTGACCTTTTCTTTTCTTCTTTTCATACACAGCCAGCTATGCCACCCAAACGGTAATGCCCTGCATTTGTTTGATCAACTTAACTCTGCCATATTATGTTTACACTTTACATTGTAGGATTTGTGAATGGAAAAAACACTCAATTTTTTTCTTTTGATGTTCATATCAGAAATAATTATAGTGTAGTGATATGAAGAAAATAACACATTTTGTTTTTCTAGAATGACCATCAAAGTGTGAGACAAGAGTAATAAAAAACAATATGGCTTTCCTTACTTCTCTTATAGCCATTTTCTACTTATTCTTCCCCATTACTCTTCTCCTCCATTTCTACTCTTTTCTCCATGCAATAGATGAAATACAAAGATTGCTTACTTCTCTTGTAGCCTTTTTCTACTTATTCTTCCCCATTACTCTTCTCCTCCATTTCTACTCTTTTCTCCATGCAATAGATGAAATACAAAGAATTATACCCTACCAATTCTGATCAACAATTCACTAAATTATAAAACAATTAAGTTCCTTGAAGAAAACAAAGATATCAATCCATTGCTTAAAGGTTACAAGTGACAATTAAGTGTACTGTTGAAATGCAATTATCTTCAATTAAGTGTACTGTATGTTTTTGTTGGTAACTTGGCGATTCAATTTCTCAGTTTTCTTTCGATGACATTTGATCGCTATATGGAGATATAAATGTACTTTTGGTCCATATATTTCTCTGTTTATGGTCTATAGTGTTTTAATTGGATCATTGACATAATTACACAAGTCTACAAGACTTAGATCCCATTTTTTTAGCGTAATTAAAACCATGAAGTCATATGACATGGTTTTCTTCTATGTTCTTTGGACCGGAATGTCTACAACTACAAGTTTATTGTCCTGAAATTTGTATTTACATGCATATTCTTGGCAGCATATTTTCTTGTATTTGCATGCATTAGTTGAAATCAAGTAGGTTGGTGGCTCTGTTTGGTGCAGTTTACTATGACCCCTTTCTTTTCTTTTCTCTTTTTCCTTTTTTAAATTTGACTTTCTTTGTGCTTGCTTTCATTTGAAGGCATAATAGTTTGGCCTTTATTGATTGATTTAAGAGAGCAAAAACTTTTGGTTTCTACATTATGTTAACGGAACACAAATTAATACTAACATCAAACTTTTGATTTATGTATTGAATAATTAATTTTGTTGGTTTGAGTGATATCTGATTAATTTTGGTGGTTTCTTTTAAAATGTCTTCATTGGAAAGAAGTTTAGTTCTAACACTTACTATCTCACCATGTTGATGTGGCAGAGCTACGGCAAAAGCTGCAAACTATGGAGACCTAACAAAAAGAACTTGAACTTCTTCAAAGACAAAGGCTGCCTCTGAACAAGCTGCCTTGAGTGCAAAACAGAGGCAGAGCTCGAGCGGCATGCAGGGTTGGCTTGCCGGATCCCCTCCTAGCCAAGATGCCAATGACGCCTAAAAATTCGAACCCCAAATACACAGTAATTCCTAGTTTTGGAACTCAAAATCAATTTAATTTTTTTCCCCATTTAAAGTATTTTTTTTCTTAACCCAGTTCTTTTCAGATATGGAAATAAGATATTCAGTTTCTCTTTGCTAGAGGGAATATGGTAGGTTTACATGTTTGTAATTAGAGACATGAACATGTTTAACTGCTGGAGACATTTTTTGTGGAAGAAATAGTTTCTAAGAAGAGCCAAGATGCCAAATGCCAATGACGCCTAAAAATTCGAACCCCAAATACACAGTAATTCCTAGTTTTGGAACTCAAAATCAATTTAATTTTTTTCCCCATTTAAAGTATTTTTTTTCTTAACCCAGTTCTTTTCATTTCTCTTTGCTAGAGGGAATATGGTAGGTTTACATGTTTGTAATTAGAGACATGAACATGTTTAACTGCTGGAGACATTTTTTGTGGAAGAAATAGTTTCTAAGAAGAGCTTAGTAATTGGAGACATAATCATTGTCAATTAATCCTTCATAATTAGTGGTTAATCGGCCATTTATGTTACAGGCTGCAGATGCAGTTTTTAGTGCAGAACCTTGGACAGTGCCATGGACAGCAAAGACCATTCTGCAGGTAAATTATTTTTTCATTTATTGTATAGTTGTTATTTTTAGGGATTTCATAGTTTATATACTAAACAATTTGATATTCTCAAACTAGCTAGTGTCTTTCTTTCTTTAAAACCCTTGTTCATTATCTCATTGGCATTTCTGCGGGAATCGCAGTGTTTCTCCTCTCTGTCCCCCTGCTTTTGTTTCCTCTATGCTATATTATTGTACTCAGATCACTTTTCTAAGATTTTCCTACTTTATTCTATAAGAAGAAAAATCAACTCTGTTCCTTTATTTATTCATTCCCATATCAGTTTGTTTTTGTGGGGTTTTTTTTTTTTTTCATCAGAGAGTCAAGAAATGGAATATGCAACAAAACCACCTTCAAATATATCAGACATTGTCTGCAAATTTGCCAAAGTTTGCAGATTTAGATCCATTGGTGTCTTCTCCACTGAAAATCCCACCCACAACCACTAACCTATCATTGATTTTGGCAACAATGTCCCATCATCGGAAGACAGCAGTGATGCCACGGAAGAGGCAGAGTGCGACATTGAGAAAATCCATCCCAACCCAGTTGAGATTCAACCCAAAACCACTGAATGTGTTAACATGGAGATCTTGAAGGTGTGTCATCTGCAATTGTAGTTTTTGAAATCATGGTCTCGTTGAATTTGTTATTTGACAGATTTGCATTATATTTGTGTGATATAATATTTTTTTTCCTTTTATTTTTTGGTTGTGTTTGTTACTTGATTTTGGTTTAGAATAATTATGCAATGTTTATCTAAATTTAGCTAATATATTGAAATAGCAGCAATGTTGTAGCCATATTATTGTTATTTTTAGCTTTTTTATAGGTATTTTTTTTTAATTAAATCTAATAGAATTAGCACAATTTCAAAAAAAAAAAGAAGAAGAAGCTATAACGGCGTTTTCCCAAACGCCACTACAGTACCAACGGTTATATTTTTAAAATAATAAAAAATCTATTACGGCGTTTTTAAAACGTCTCTAAATACTAAGTGACGTCATTTTATTGTTATTTACCACATTTAACGGCGTTTTTAAAAACGCCGTCTATACTAATATAACGACGTTTTTAAAGTGTCATAATGTTATAGCGACAGTCGCGTCTTCGACGTTTATACTAAACGCCGCAAAAAGAATTAGCAGCATTTTTTATACCTATAGCGGCGTTTTTTAAACGCCACCAAATGTGAAATTTTTAGCAGTGGTGATTCATATTTCTTGACACTAGTCAATCTCAAAGCTTCTGATTCTCTAAAAACCTTGTCATTGAATTGCCTATGAATTGCTTGAATATGTAAGTTTTTTCAGAATATTGATTGCCATTGATGTAGCTGTGTTGCAGATTATGGTATCCATCTTCACTAACCTTTATGCAGAGTTTGTGTAGTGGAAATGATAGTTCTATATTAGCTGTCACAGAAGGCTGCCAGGTTTTGCCTTTTCATTTTGTATACATTTTTTTAAAAAAATTAACATTTGAGCTTATTTCTTTGTTTACCCATTTTGGCATTTTTCCATCTTTTTGAATTACTGCAGCTTTCCATATGGGACTTGAGAATGAAAGAAAATGGTGGTTGTGTGCGTAGGATATATGGTTCTGTTGGAGATATCTTCTATGCAGTCTATAGTTCTTCAACTAGTATTGCAGTGGGAGGAGCTGATCGTACTGTTACCGTCTACGATCCTCGTAGGTTGGTTACCATGTCAGGCATAATTTCATCCATTAATGGCCATTTCTGTATCCCTACAAAGTTGTGAATGGTCGAGTTTAGATTTTACGGCATTAACAATGAAGAATCAGATGTCTTGATTCTTATAATATAACAGTGAAGCATAAAATACTTGTGATCATTAAGTCTTGTTGACGTTTGTAGGGATAGATGTCTGGGGATTGTTAGTAGTCCAAATGCTTCATAAATGTTTTTAATAATCAATACCAATTCAAAAGAAAAAAACTTGCCTTGTCTGGGGATTGTTAGTGGTCTGCATGTTGCTGTGTAACAAGGTGGCAACTTGAGTAATTTGAAACCCAAATATACTTGATTTAGAGTACACAACAAACTCAATCGCTGTAACTTAAAGTTATTACGATTCTTTCGTCATGAGTTTCATAGAATAGAAAGCCTATAGAATATGAGCTGCTTTTGATAAAATAAATTGGTCCACTTTTTTGGTTCTTCAAATTATTCTAGACATTCTATGAATTACTGAGGAATTGTCTATTGGCCAATTAGATTGGCTTTTAAATTAATAGAACAAAGATGACATTTCTAGTGAATATTAGTTACTTAACATCCATCCACTTTTTGAGAAGGGTGACATTTTTGTTGAATCATTACCTTCGATGGCTTAGTTCATTAGATCATGATATCACCACCACCACCACTACTACCACAATCACTGTCTCCTCCTTCTCATCATTGTTATTTCTATAAACAAATACGTTCCCTCTTCCATGTCCCCATCATTTAAAGCTCAATCCTTTTCCATGAATAGCTAATCGTTTATTCATCCTAACTCGTCATCTTGTAAGTAATTTGTTGCTTGCATATGAAAGAGCTAAGGGAATTCATCTCTTCTGTAATCAACAGATTGAATTTGATAGATCTGCTGAAACTGTCACGTATGGTTCTAGTAGAGATCTTTTCAAATTTTCGAGTTTTAGCATTCCTTGCAAATTAATGTTTGTATGGCCATAAGCAAACTCAGTTCTAGATCTTTGTGTGGACCAAAAATGTTCAGATATTCACAAGCCTCTCTTGGTTAGGCTGGCCAAAGAGTTTTTGAATTGATCAAACTTTGCAAAGGCTCCTGACCTTATGAAATATTATCATGTGGGAAAAGCTAACAAGGATGGAGCTTGTTTTTGTGTTCTTTTTGGGAAAATTTTGTTGTTGATTGTAGAAACGTCAATTGGTATGCATGTTAGATGTCCTAAGCACATTCAATTGGTTTCTTTGAAATTAAATATTTGTCTCGTTGTTGTGAAAGATCAAATATTGAAATCCGACCTATCTGCCTGGTGAGGAGAAAAGAGTTATCATGCATTTTATTAGATGATGAGAGCAAAGGACGAATTAGATGAAAAAGAGAGTGATGTGACACAATTAAGCAGCTATTGGAGAAACAAACAGAGAGATGTTTGTATATATGGTTCCTGGTACCTCTTTTGTATTGTAGTAAGATACCATTCAAACTTTAAGAGGTGAGGGGAAAAGAAATTTGATGAGGTTAATTTTCTTCAAGGAAGATCATTTGTTAATTGCATGTTTAAGCTATTGACTACACAATAGATCTACTGAAATGTGTCTCTGTCCTGTGATGCCATTAATGAAGTGTTGAACATGCACATCAAAGAGGAAAAACAGAAAGATAGAGAGATTGTAATTCTTTACTCGACTTTGTGTTGTCTATGAAATTTCTTAGGTTTTTCCCCTACAAGGGTAGTAACCAACCAAATACTTCGATTATTTGATTAAAATCCTATTAATGTACCTGCAAATATACTCATTTGTTGTTGTTGATGAAAAACTGTTAGCATACTACAGCATACGGATGAGATCTTTGTTATAGGAAGCATAGCATTGTTTGTTATTAGTAAGGAAAAAGTGTTACTATGTTTCCAAAAGAGTTTTGTGGTGGTGTTAATTTTACTGTTGTACTGAAATATGCAGGTACCTGGATCATAATCAATTTACTGGGAGAATCCCGGATGCATTCTATAAGCACACTTTCTTGAAAGAAATGTGAGTTTCTGTCTTCAATCAGTACAAGCAAATTGCAATTACCCAACACTAGGTGAAATGCTAATTGATTAAATGTTGTCACAGGTATATTGAAGGAAATGCTTTCCGGCCAGGTGTGAACCCTATTGGCGTCCACAATGTCCTCGAAGTTTCTGACACAGAGTTCTTGTTTTAGTCAAAGCTTCCACATATTATTTACTCGTAGAATTGTTTCTTTTTGTTCTTGCTAAAACTAGGGTGTTTCAGTTTGAATTGGAATGTAGTTCTATAAATAGGATGTATATAATGTACACTAGTGTTTTGGGAAATTTAAGAAATTTTGGAAGTAGGTTGTTTGACAGTTTAGAAAGGTGTTGTTGGATTCTTTGGTTGTCATTATTTTGTGTGAACAATGTCTGGTGGAACACCAATTGGGGGTGCATTCATGAGACAGAGGCATAGCCAAGGATATACCTCGGGTAGTGATGACCACGAGGACGATGCGTGTTCAAGAGCAAGTCCTCAGTCACCGTCGTCATTGCAGCAGAAGACACGACGGAGATGGGTTGAGATTATGGAGAATGTTCTTTGGATTGCTTCTGCAGTTTTTATCATATACTATGGTGATAGGCATTCCAATTTTATTGTCATCTTGTGGCACGATGATCGGATTAGAAGGTAAATGCTTATGCTTAGATTTTTTATTATCCGTTTATCGCTTTTTTTATTAGTTCTTTAAGCATGTATAGAGGACAGTTAAAAATTCATTGTTTGGTTGTTAGTGGTTAAGGTTGCCATAGTTTCTAGTACAACATAATAACAACAATTTAGTTTATATTACAAACTAACCTGTCATACGATATCAACTTGAAAGTATTTGCCCTTGCGATGCCATCCTCAATAGTTTTTTGCATCTCTCTAGGGTATTGGAACTCATTTCGTACATCTATTTTATCTTGGGCTCCCATCTCGTCAAAATATTTTACGAGCCGCCGAAATGTAAATTCAACCATAGCTGAGATAGGTAAGTTCCTTGCACCTTTCAAGACACTATTGAAGCACTCTGTATCATTGCTGGTTAATACCCCCCCACCGATATCCACCGTCATATGCAAGGGCCCACTCCACAGGATTCATCTTGTGAACCCAATTGATGGCATCTTGGTTAATAGCATGTATCTGTTCTAAGTAACCATTACACTTTCGTCGTTGATGAGCACTCCCTGCTTTCCATAGAAGTTGTTTCAGCTCCTTATTTTTTAACCTAGTGTTAAAGTTACTACAAACATGTCGAAGGCAGTGCCGATGATATCCAACAAATTGGAGCAACCGATTCAGCCAATGCCGCCTCATAGCAGCTAAAATACTCTCAGCTCGATCAGATATCAAAGTCACTCCCTGTCGATCCATGACAATATGTTCCTTGATATTTGAAATGAAGAACGACCAAGACTCCAAACTCTCCCTGTCAATAACAGTGAATGCAAGCAGTAATACTTTGCCATTGGCAGTGACAATCGTTGCTACAAGCAACACACCAGTGTATTTCCCGTATAAGAATGTACCATCTATGGTTATAACAGGCCTACAATATCTGAATCCATCGATGACGGGTTTGAAAGACCAGAAAACAAAGTGGAAGACGAGCATAATGGTTGTACCTTCGGTATATTTATGCTTCCACTGCATGATGGTGCCAGGATTAGATGTTTGTAATGCATGCATGAATTTAGGCAACAGCCTATATGATTCATCCCAATCCTCAAATACCATTCTAATTGCCTTTGCCCTTGCATGCCACGCCTTCTTGTATGATATACTATAGTTCATGGTCTTTTTGATATCTTCGATGACATTCTTAATTGGCATATTAGGTTCATTCTGCATATGACAATACCTATGAGTCAGATTATTTTGGTGTGAACACTATAAACAAACAAATATGTATATTTATGTAAACATTTATTTTGTATACTCACCGCAACTTGTCCCAAAAGATGAGAAGCAATGTAACTGGAGCTAATATTAGTGTGGTCCCTATTCATTCGTGGGTATAAACAATGGTGAGGACCCCTATACTGCTTTATTTCAAAAAGACCATGTTTCCTACTAAGAGATGCACGCAACCACCAGCTGCAATCGTGCTTGCAAGCACACACCCAAACGTCTCGCTTGGAGGTTACGACTTTATACTCTCGATTATTTGTTGCATGGTACAATTTCACAGCATGTACGAGTTGCTTCTTATCAATGAAAACCATTCCTTTGCCCAACTCTAGATTTTCAGCATTCCAGATTCGGTTACGGGGAACGACATCGCGGTTACTAATGTCAAAATCACCACCCATGTGGATGTTTTCATAGAAAGGGATTTCAGGTCTAGGTGAAATGGGGGCATTGTCAAGGTCAACAGGAGCGTCGGCATCATCTTCTTCATCATCATCATCTGATCCGCCCAATAAATTTTCTTCATCACACATTTCATTCTCATCATTGTCTAGGGCTACATCAGGATCGTACATGTCATTGTCAGCAAACTGCACATAATTCACTGTTTCAGCCATGTTACCAACAACTTCAACTGGAGTGGTATGATGGCTGTAAGTGGGCACATCTTCTGTGTTATTATGAAATTCAGTCTCATATCCACCACGTGAACTAGATTCTACACCATGGCCCTGAAATGTCTGTTGTGTGTAGCCCACTGCATAACATTCATTTGATTCATACATAGGAGACTGAAACGCTGTCGTGTCAATCCCATGTGTCAGTAATGTAGTGAACAGATTTGAACTTTCCATCTGTGTCATATTCGAGACATTGTGTACAACCTTTTTATCAATGTAAACTTCCAAACAATCTGGTGGTTGGAAACTTCCACCGATACTTAATACGGTGTTCAACACCTCATCGTCATTGATTGGTAATATTTTGTATTTGCTGGTTGCTTGCCACTGGCGATAAGGATATCTACGTTTGAAGATCAATCGAATAGTTTCCCCGTAACTTGCCACCTTGGACATAAACATCTCCTTTAAATTGCTAAGTGTGGTGCCAAGTTGCACCCCATATATCCCTTTCGGCTCAGCATCATATGACACACCTTCATCAGGATCCCGAATTATGTTTTCCCCCCTGTAGAAGATAATTGGAATAGTTGCCATATACTTGCTTCAATGAAACAATAAACATTAAAATATCAACAATATACATATATCGAATTTTACTTCTAAAATAATTATATGAATTTTAAATCATTCAATTACAATTACTTGGGAGGCAATAACTTTATTTAAGTAATTAGTAATTGTAATCCAACAGTAGTTATTCATTTTTTAATTAAAATATGAGTTAAAATAAACCTTATGTTTTGGATTTTTTAGCTTTTTAAGAAAAAGCTTACAACACATAAAGAATGTTGGCTTGTTTGGACATAACTGTATATGGAACTCCTATGTTCTGCTTTTTCCATTATTTATTACGATTAAAATCATGCTCTTATGCATGGTAAATGTAAATTTTTCTTTTTCCATGTTTCTTCTTCTTTGTTTTGATAACATTTCAGTGTTGATTTGATTTTTGTAAATTAACCTGCTTTTATTTTTGTGTTCGTTATTTGAATTTGTTTAGGCGGACACTTGGTGAAAGGAAGTTGTGGGAGTCAAAAGACAATTTATATTTTCCTATAAGTGACATTTATATCATAAGTGACATTTTCCTATAAAAATCAGCCCACTCATTTTTGTCAATTTATATTTTTCAGGGTAGAAGGAACTGTAGAGGTGAAACATTACTTCAATTTAGATTTTGTCAGCTGTATATTTGTCTCTCAATTTGTTTATTAGTGTTTATTTTCTTATTTTTTTTCTCACTTATTTTTATTCGTATAAAACAATAGCTGAGATTTCATCTCTTCGTGGAGTTTTTATTTACTTCCTATGTGGAGACTCTTATCTTTTCTGTGTGAAGGTTCTTTGTTGTCATTGCTCTCTTGTCTTAATTAAAAAAAAAACATCAAAATAACTATACTTCTTGTCTTAATTCTTTGTTGTCATTGGTCTTTTTTTATTCTCATTCTTTTTGCGGTTGGATATGCTTTGTTCATATGATCCTTTTTGGAATTCATACACATGTATAGATGTCCTATACAAAAATGTTTATTGAATTAGTGGCCAAAAAGAAATTTTGAATCACATAGCAGCAATAACTTCAGATTTTGAATAAGTCTAAGAATACAAAAATGGTTATAGAACTGTACACAAAATGTATATAGATGGATAAAATTTTTAAAAATAGTAACAAACTCTATAAAATTTTATGCGTATATATGTATTTTTATTCAATTTTATGATCAATTTTTTTTGTTTATAACGAAACTACAAGATTTTTAGCTAGTGACCCATTTTGATTTACAAGATCCATAAAGGGACAATTCCAAATATTACAGTCATGGCAGAGTTTAGAGGAAGATCAGATATATGCATGCGTATTATTAAGTATTTAAAGAGGTGTGTTTGGTTTGTGTTTGTAGAGTGTTTTTTAGATAAAAAGTACGAAAACTTATTTGGTTTGCCTTCTTTCAGAAATGGTTGTGGAAAATTGTTTTGGGGAGAGAGTTTTACAAAAAGTGATTTATTTGATGTGTATGAGAGAGAGCTATTTTGGAAAGTAGGTAACCAAACAAAATTTTGAGATTTTTTTTGGAAAAATTTGTTTGGTTTGATTACTCTTGAAAATTTGTTTCTAGAGAAATTTTCCCAACATTTTATATGAAAAACAAACCAAACAAGCCCGTTATTTCTATGATTTGAATCCATAACATTTGAATTATAATAGATTTATTTTATTTTATTTTATATTATTATCAGCATAATAAAACAACCTTACCATTACGGCAAGGGCCTCCCTTCCTCAATATGATCAATTTTTAAAAGGCATTCACTCAAAATAAATAAATAAATATATAATAATAATGACTTTACACAACCGTTAATTTAGGCAATGATTTAATCGTACGCATGTAAGCGGGACCAATTTTAAAAACACTTATTTTGTTTTCTTTTCATAAATCTTGATCTATTTTTTAGTATTTTGATAAAGTAGACAGATATATCACACATTTAAAAAACACTTCATTCTATCAAGTATTTTTCTTATTCAGTAAGATTGGACAAAATTGGACAAGTTATACAAATATCTTAAATCATAGTATAAGTTTTGTATGAAATTATTATTTTTTTCATTGAGTTTAAAGAACTCAATTGATTTGGACAATATAAAATAGAGGTTTCAAACATTGTTCTTAATTTTTTAAAACTGGGGATCCAATTCTTCAGATTTATGGACAATTACAGATAAGTTAATTTGATTTGCTCAAACTTGTGCCATTAGGGACCTTAATGACAAAGTTATTTCCTATGTGAAATAGTAACCCTCGTCCACTTTTTAGAGGTCATAGAGGCTTTGTTATGAAATTCAAACAAAAGGCTCATTTTGGCTCGTTCTGAAAAGTAAGAAAAAAATTTAATTTATTTACTCTTTTTTTTTTCTTAAACATTCAAAAAAAAAATAGAGAGATAATTTATAATGGCCAAAAAATAGAGAGAAAATTTAAGTTGGTGGTTAAATCTATGTAGTAAATTTTGGATAGTTATCCATGTGAATCTATTGGGCCATCC